GCAGCCTACCACTGCAGAGGAAATAAAGACATCACTGCTGCCATGTACTCGCGGACGTATAGAGGTGCTCAGGAGTTGGAATTGTCTCGATGGCACTACATTTGGGATTTTTTTGGTATACACATCTTATCAGTAACCTCCTCTGGGGAGTTACATCTGTTATAGAATTATGACTAACACAAGATTCGAGAGACTGACCAAAAATATACACAACAATGACAATTCAATGGCTGTGCACAAAGGAAAACCTGGCTGCGACCAGCTTCATAAATTACAGCTAATTATCAATGCTGTCAATAGTCCCCTGGAAGAAATGCCTGTGCCCTGTAGTGCCACTGCAGTTGATGAAGGCATGGTTCCATTGAGGGGCCACTCACCAAACAAAACAATACATGCCAACGAAGCCTGCCCAACTCCAGGTAGAAAGATCGGTGTTTGGCAGACTCATGACTGGTTTTTCAGTCCGTTTAAAACCTGAAGGGAAATGAAAAAGGCTTACGGAGTGACCCACCCCTCTCCCTCGGTGAGCGTGTTGTACTCGGACTCTACCACTCACGCCACGACTGTCATGGACTTGCGGTTTTGACACATCTTTCTCCTCCTCTCATCAAACCAAAGGGCACGCGGCTGTAGACACGGCTAGAGCCAAAGGAAAGGGACCACCAGGAATGTTGCAAAGGAAAGATAAATGACAGCAGGGACATCTGCGGTGTGTCGGCCGTGAAGGGACAGGACACTATGCCTGTGGCAGTTTTGTCAACATTCCACAACTCCAAAAGAAAGAGCAACGATGGTTCCTCCTCAGTCAGCCACTGGCCACGGGCAGTTGCAGAGCATCATGCAATTGTGGGAGCAGTGGCCCCCTTTGACTGCAAGCACCAGGCGCACACAATCCAAAGACGCATTCTCAAAGGGTGCCCTTGATGGCTGTACCTCCTTATTGGCCTTACCGTGATCAACAGGTTTTCAACATGGAACTGTAAAGACAGGGGCAGGTGTGACCAACCTTCCTCCAGGCTCGCTCTTATCAGGGAGCTTACTGCGGGCCAGGAAATCAGAGGAAAAGGAAGACCCTTGTTTCTTGGGAAGCCGGGATGAGCAGGGCCAAATGACATAGGTTGGAAAGCTCTTACCTGTCAAGGGATCTAGACAGGAATGCAGAGAATAAGCCCTATGAATGAGACTAAAGCAACAATTACATGTAGCCACTGCAGGTTGTCTTTATGAATTTTTCCATGCGCAATCCACCTATCTTACCATCTGAGTTAAGTGGGACATGTGTGTCCCACATCATAGTTATTAAAATCCATATCATACTTTTCAAAAATTTAATTAGCACGCATTCCAGTAGCACAAACCATTATACACATACTAAAAACTTAGAGAAAAATAATTCGGTCATCAAAGGCATACTCTATATTTAGTCATCTGCTAAGAGAATCGTTTGGGTTGACTAGCTGTATCCTTAAGAGCTGTTGACAGCTCTTTCTCATGACTTTTCACAAAAACGGAATCCCCTGACTTATCAAGTATGAGGATTTGATATTAATGAGGATATTAATGAGGATCTCTTCTAGAGATCCCTTCAGCAACAGCATGGCTTACGTCGGGGTAAGTTCACTTTCTGGCACTTGGTACTTTCTAGCCAGTTTAGCCCGTTTGCCTTTGTAAAATGAAGTAGAAAATCAAATTAAGGCACTGTTTAAGCACCCAAAGCTAATACACTCTACCCAATTAACATCTGATTTATTGAGAAAGCTTAGGCAGCTCTAAGTGGCAATGGCTGTCCCAGGTGCTTTGTCAACTGCTGAAGAAGTTCGGTGAAATCGAAGCCCAAGAGTTAGCATGAAGGGAAAGGAACCTCTTCCACTCTGTGGCATTTGGCAGGCCGAAAGACAAGAGCGTGTCACCTTCTCTGTGGAAAATTAACCTAGCTCATTGGTACGGATGGCAGCATCCAATTTCTTGCAAGACTGTTATGCTACCATGAAATGTTTGAACAGAAAAGGAAAGCACAGTGCCGGGAAGAAAACATTAGGAAGTAGGAAGGT